GTGGTGTTATAGGCGGATGATGAGGATACCGTGGATAGAGAAGGCTAGAAATGAAGAGATATTAGAAATTAGAAAGAGGAGACTGTGGTAAATATTAAGTAAAAAATTAAAAGGAATACTTGCCCCTAATTAACACAAATAATTTTATTTCCTTTTCCTTTTAATTTTTATATCAGTGGACATTTAACTTGGCTGGTGTCGTAATCTCATTGCGCTTTTACGAAACATAATCTATTACAGTATAAGAACGTACCACACCCTGCCATTGGTAAACTTACCCTCAATACTAAAAATTGTTGTAAAGTCAGTACCTAATTGTACTTCTGATAATAAAAAGTAGCCAAAAATACGTAAATAAAATAATACATTATATATATTAGTGTATTATCGCTCTTAAGCTTTGAAGACTTCATTAGCGATACTAAAGACTAATTAAGGAAATGTAAAATTAAGGTATGATTACGATAAAACAGTGTAGTATATACTTTGTCATACGATACATAATAACGCACTAATGACAGCCTCGTTTTTTTTACAAATTTTAATTATAGCATAATGAAAATAATAACCATATATAGGCGCCCGCTCATAGATTAATGGTTTAACGATTAGTAGTACTTATAATGGTACATTCGTTAACGTTTACAAACTTTTTAATATCTGCTTTTATCGTTTTAATTAGCAGAGAGCAGAATTACGTTAATTGCCGTATACCGGGATCGATATCTAAAATTCACGTTCTCATTGTTGATCCATTTAATATTCCCATTTAAGCTCCACAGTTTGATACAGGATTTATTTACATTCACGGCAATGGTGCATAAATTAGGTTACGAATTTTGCCGTAAAGCTTCGGTTTCAACTTGCCAAACTATTTATTGTGAAACGAATTTACCTAATACGAACCTGCTTGTCAATACGGCCCGAAAATTAATGAATGCATGATGGAGAAAAACGAAATCTGAAAGCATTACTATACTAAAGCCTAGCGCACACTGCGATTTTTGTCGCGCAAATGTAACAGAGATTAGACGCAACCGGTCCTATTTCAGGTTGGGGAGATGAAGAACGGAACGAAGTTGAACCAATAACAAAACCACCGGAGATGACCGATATAACAGATGAAATCAAAGAAAATGAAGAAAACGTCGAAACAGAAGAGCCACTGGAATTAACACTGGACGAATGGAAAGCTCAACGTGAAGCACAACTTGCTAACCGCAATAGACCCCAATACAATATTCGTAAAGCTGGTGAAGGAGAGGATCCCAATAAATGGAAGGAAATGTACGAATTAAGAAGAAAAGACGAAGAAAATGACTTTGACGAGGGAGAGTACGATCCTAATAAGTATCCCCAGCGGGTAGGAAGACAGAGGTATTTGCTCGATATTGAAATTCATTTCAACAACGAAAGACGCAGTGGGGGACCATCAAGGAGAAGGTTCAATAGAGGACGAGTTAATAAAGACAATAACCAACAGCAACAACAGCCACGTTCAAGCAGCAACGATGAAGCTCTCTCACAATGCAATGAACACATACCGAAGGTAGACGATGAGCGGGACTTTCCATCATTGAAGTAATTTTCCTTTCCCGAAATTTATTATAATTATAATTGTTTATCAATAATTACATACTACGATAGTAACAATTTTATTTTATGACAATAACTGGTTCGGTTATTTGTAAGATTATCAAAATTTACAGCTGTAGTAATAAGTACTGCTTATTTGTAGATGAGCAGAATTAAGTAGTCTGCTTTAATTAATAAAAGGATCTGAAGAATGTGGACTATCGCTTATTTGATATTTAATATATTTTGTGTTTCAAAACATTCTCTGCAACGAAATGATTATAAGCATTTATCTTAAAGTTAATAAAAAGCCGGTTAAATATTGATTTAACAAGTAATTATCTGATTGTTCAATCACAATAAAATTCTGGAAACCAACCGGTTTTTTTATTCATTTTCAAATTACCCACCTCAGTATTATCAACAATCAAAGCCTACATCTCAAAAAGAACCAATCAACATAAACGCTTTTCTTAAAATTACATACCTATAAACAATTAAATGAAACCTTTACTGTATCAATAGTACATCAGTGTAATGCCATTTCAAAAGAAACATGGAGAGGCTTATGGCAATGAGAATATTGAAAAATAAATCCTAAAATCTTCTTGATCGTTTAATTCCTATTGTGGCAGTGAATATAGGTACTTGTACCACTTAGATGTTTGTTTTGAAGTGTACGCTAGAAAACTATACAGCAATTTAGCAAACCAATGACTTAATATATTATCCTTTATTTTTCTAGATATTATGTATGCCTTTAACCTCCTTAATCTTCGTGGAAGCATGTGATGACGCGAAATCTTGATGGAACACAAACTTGCTATTTGGGTACAGATGGCAAGTACTTCTGACTGATGAGGACCTTAAATGGTCCTAGAACGGCCTGAGGTAGAGGGGTTTTAGTCGGTAGGTCCGAGGACTTCTTCCTCGGGAATCCGACACTACCCAGTCGTACGGACGGCTGGGTGTCTTCTGAAGATTTCCCCTCTTCCACGAAAACATAAAAAAAAAAAAGCTTGTAGATGTTGGCAAGGATGATCCTGGTCACCAGGTCAAGGCACCCTCTCAACGGAATACTGAGACGGCGTTCGCCTCGAAGGCGGTCCTTATGTACGTTCAAGTTGCAGCTGGAGATTTAGAGATTTTCCGGTTCGCAAATCGTTCTCGCTCTCGTTCAGTCGGAGTCCTGATGGTGGTAGCTGGATGAGACGTGCAAGTGCCTGTTCTATAAAGTAACGGGCTTGTGTGCTAAACAAATTTTTTTGATATACCGCACTTCTCTCCGATACTGTTGAAATAAATCTAAAAGCATTAGCGTTACGTTTTTGTTCCAAACGATATATTTTATATGT